AAAGGGTCTGTTTCCATGCTGTATAACTCTATGACTCTATGACTTGACTAATAATTGGAATGGACCACTTGCCTTATAAGAAAAAGTTAGACTGGCTAGGCTTGTATCCGCTGCAGCTTAAAAGATTGAGACATATAGTATCCTGAGAAGGCTTGACAGGGAAGATGCTTCTTTTTGTGGGATGTTCCAGAACTAGGAGTAACCATTTAAAAGTAAGTTGTCGCCTATTTAAGACAGAGATTGGGAGTTTTGTTTTCTCTTGTGAGTCTTTGGAACCCATTTCCTCAAAAGATGTTGAAAACAGAATCTGATTTCCCTTAAAGGTGGATATGGGTAAATTTTGATAAGGAAGGGGATGAAAGATAATCAGGGGAGGGCTGGAGTGTGGAGTTCAATTTAGACCAGCCGTGGTCTTATGAAATGGGGTAGCAGACTCCAGGGGCCAAATGGCCTAGTCCTGCTCCTTGTTCATGTGTTCATTTGGTACAGGTTCAATAAAGAAACCTGACATTATCTAAAGGAAAGCAGTCTCCTTAAACAGCACCCCAGCAGTCCACTAACACAAGCATTCACTCCATCCACCATGGGTTCAGTATTCACCAGCTACAATTGTACAGCAGCAGCTTTCCAAGGCTTTTTCATCAGATCGCCTAAACCCAAAATCTTTCCCACTCAGAAAAACAAGGGTTAGTTAAGTGCTTGGGAGAGTCACCATCAGGTTCCCGCCAAGTGAAACATTGTCCTGATTTGAATATTTATCACCATTCCTTCATCATTGCTGGGCTAACATTTAGGACTTCCTACCCAACAGCACAGATAGCACCTTTAGTACATTAACCTGCTACAATCCAGGAAGAAGGCCACTATCATTGAGCTACTAAGGATGGCAGTAAATGTTGGCCTTGACGACACTATCCACCTCCTGTAAATGAATGAATAAGGACTATTGGCTGCCTTCACTATCTTGAGCATGAAAATTGGTGGTGAATCCACAATGGATGTCATTGTTAGCCATGTGTCAGCTCAGCTGGCTGGATGGCTAGTTTCTGATGCAGTGTAATGCCAACAGCATTGGTTCAATTCTGGTACGCATTACACTTACCATGAAAGACTCTCCTTCTCAATCTCTCCCCTTGCCTGAGATTTGGTGACTCCCAGGTTAAACCACCACCCATTGTGTCTCTCTAATGATAGAAGAGGGGAATGGCAACTCTACCTTCTTTATTAATAAAATATTTATTTAAGCTGAGGACTTTTGTAGAGCAGTGGCAGTACACTACTTCTGAACCAGAAGGCCTGGGTTCAAGTCTCAACTGCTCCAGAAGTGTGTAATTACATCTCTGAGCAGGTTACTTCAAAAATATCTATCTGAAATGCTGAATAATTAAAATTTGTGAACTAGTAATTCACAAATTACTAGTGTTTCAAATAAAATCAGTTCGCTCACAAAAAGTACGGTTGTTAAAGGAAAGAGTGTAACAATCTGAGTGTATTGTGAGAATTTAAGATGATTTATAGCATGTTGGTGCAGCTAACTCTCAATGTTTGACAATCCCAAATTTCCTGACTCTTCAGACTAGCTATTACTTGCAATGAGTTGCATTCAATGTGTCTGTAGCCTGAAATCATTACCTGGATCTTTAGAGAATACAGACATCTTGACATCATTACTTAACATATGGACAAAGACCTACATTTTGATACTACTTTCACAAATTTACTGGGAATCCAGTTTTTGTCCACACGTAGACTAGCACAACATATAGAGTTTGGGACAGTTATGTCTCTCTCTCTCATACACTGGACTATACAGCATATAAGTACCTTAAGGAAAATTATGTGGTGATGCATGTCAAATCTATTTTTAAACTATTCTAATTCAGAGCCAGTGGCTGTAAGTGCAGACTCAAAGACCTGTCTGGGTTCCTTATTTACATTGTTAAAATGTTGGCTCCATTGGGCCATTGGGTATTGTAAAATCATAAAAAGTACAAACTGAATATACAACCTTTGTTTTCCTTGAATCTGAACCATGGTCCAGAATTTTTCGACCAACAGCAAAACAAGTAAATTTGCCAGTAAATTTGAAGTAAGCTGCCCAAATAGATCTATCAGTCTCTTCCTGAATTCCTTGTTCTCATTAACCATTTAAGTAAAACATCAAATCAAGGAAGTCTGAGGCATACACCAGCAGCCCTCTATGCTGTCCTCCAAATAATGATATATGATATCAGTTCTCGGACTAGTTGCTGTGCACATGAGACTGAGTGACAGGGTTTCAGCTTTATCGCTATGTTCCAAGCTTCTAATTCTGCCAGATCAGGTTAGAATTTTTGGGCTTCTGGAATGGGAAAGACACAAGAGCTGGGCTGTGATAAGTTGTGGAGTGCAGGATGTTGCAAGAGGCACATACTTACAGAAGAACAAGGAGCAGGATTAATAAGGCTTTCCTTATCACCTACTGTACTTGCACACTAATTTTCTACAATTCCTGCACAAGGACAATCAGATCTATCTGCACCAAAGCATTTTGAAGCTTCTCTTCATTTAGATAATAATCTGCCTCTAATTTTTTTCCAAACTAAATGGATAACCTCACACTTATTCATGTTAAATTCCATCTGCTGAGTTTTGGTTCATTCACCTAAACTATCCATATCCATAAATTTCTTATTTTTTCATTGCAAATTATTTTCCCATTTATTTTAGTGTCATCTGCAAACATGGCAATTGTACATTTTATATCTATATTAATAACTTGAATGCAGGGATAAGTCCAGGTACACTACATCTACAGGACCCACATTATCTACTTTGCTTGTTTCATCTTTAAAAAGCTCTAGCAAATTAATCAACCATGATTAACCCTTCATAAAAAATACTGATTCTGATGGATTCCATTTTGCCTAGACCCGAAACGTCAGCCTTCCTGCTTCTATGATGCTGCTTGGCCTGCTGTGTTCATCCAGCTCTACACCTTGCTATCTCAGATTTTCCAGCATCTGCAGTTCCTACTATCACTGCTTTGTAGTTTCTTCTTTCTGCCTCCCTTCTATTTTGAATAAGGCTGTTATATTAATATATTTCCAAGAATCCCAGGAATTTTGGAATATTGTAACCAATGCATCAATTATCTCTGGTGCCACTTCCTTTAAGACCTTGAAATGTAGCCATCAGGTCCTTGGGACTTGTCTATCTTCAATTCCAGTAGTTTGTTGAGTATTTTTACTCTAATGATGGTGATTGTTTTAAATTCCTTCTTTTCTCCAACCTCTGCATTAGCTGTTATTATTGAGATGGTGTCAGTATCCTCCACCATGAAAACAAAGGCAAAGCTTTGGCTTTTAGGTATGAGTTGTGATTGGGAGAGACAATTGATAGATGATTGGTGGGGATGAGGTTCATTGAGCAATAGCTGAGAACAGTGTTGCAGTTGGGTTTTTTTAATTCATTCATGGGAAAGGGCATCGCTGGCTGACCAGCATCGATTACCCATCCCTGGTTACCTTTGAGAAGTAGATGGTAAGCTGCCTTCTTGAACTGCTGCAATCCACGTGCTATAGATTGACCCACAATGTTACTGAGGAGGAAATTCCAGGATTTTGACTCAGCAACAGTGAAGTAACGGCAAGATGGTGAGTGGCTTGGAGGGGAACTTGCAGGTGATGGTCTTCCTATGTGTCTGCTGCCCTTGTCTAATTAATAGTCTAGTGGTAATACCATTGGGCCTTTGCCTCCATTATTGGCGATGATATTGAATTAGTTTTTGGCATTGCTTCTAGCATGCTGAGGCTTAACGGTCACAAATTTCTATTTCTGTGACCTTTATAAAGCTTGTTTGGATGGCCTCTTGTCTCCATGTAGATAGATCACATCTCTCCTCCTTTTCACCTCCCTGGATGTTCAATACAGTACTAAGCAACCTGGGAGCTCACACTCTTTCTGCTTCACTATAATTAATTCTCTCTGCTCAGACACCCATCTACACATACTGCCAGGATCTGCTGCATTAGCATGTGCTGTTCCTTTAGGCAGTACAGTCTATCTTTAAGTGATGCTAGCATCATTCAAGCTTTAATCTCATCTGACTAGTTCATCCATTCTACGGCATGTTTAATGCTGGCTAGATGCTGCTGTCCTGCAAATTAACAGGCAGAAAAGACTTAGCTTTTGTCCCCTATCAGAAGCAACAACATGAGTTAATTGCACGATGCAATCCAATTTCATAGAGATGTCCAATTTAACACCACTACGCTCATCTCTGGCAACAGATGTGAGTCCAGACCCTAAAGGTACCTAACTTTCTTCTCTCCCTCATAAAGGACAGTCATTAATTTATTATTCATCCCCGATTGTGCAGCAGGCAGCAACTGCTTTTAAAAATGACATTCTGAATTACACAACAAACCATCAAAAATACCGTTCACCTGAAAAGCAAATACCTCTCAGCAAAATTTTTCTCAATTAAATGAAGTTTATACGAAAACCCTGGCTGTCTCATATAGAGAAAAAAAGCTTTTGATTCATATTTCCAACTTACATTACATTAAATTCTTGTTTGTATGCGTGAATTTAGATAAGCAGATAAGCGCAAAGTAGAAATGTTCTATAAATCATTTTTTTTAAGTATGATTGCTGGGCCAGTGTGGATTCACAAAAATGACCTAACAATGATCTTCAGGATGCAGCTAAGTTGACTCTAAATAACATTTTTTAGGTATATAATAGATGCTAAAATGATTTGATGTTGCCTGCAAATGTTTAGTTCAAAATCACTATCACGTTGTGTGTCCACTTATGAGATTGCTTCAAATGACAAAATCTAGCTGCCCAGCAGGATCCAGCACAGTCCCATCATTACACGGCATCCTTTTCTCACTGAAATGAATCCAGGATCTTTGCTTCCTGTCCTGCTGTTTACTACAAACGCTGATCGTAACTTGTTGTATATTAATGTGCTGTTAATAACATTCAAGTGGTGGTACTAATTGGAATCTCACCTGTGCTTCCAACAAGAAGAGGAGGTTTTCTTCTTCATTGAATGTATATGGCATGAATTGTGTCTTTTCTCCTGTCATGTTGTTTGAAGCTACAATCTGAATTAGGGCTCAAGACAGACCAGTACAGTTAAGTTCGTGGATGACACAAAAAGTAGTTGTGAAGGCAAGTGGTGATGCTGGCACAAAGAGTTTACTGAGGGATGGAACCAGATTAACCAAGGGAGGAGAAAGTAATTTAGCAGATGGAATATAATAAGGGAAAGAATGAAGCTATGCACTTTGGAATGAGGAACAGAGGAGCAAAATGTTATTTAAATGGAGGATGACTGCAGAAAAGTAAGCATAGAAGGATTTGGGAGTCCTCGTGCATAAATCATAAAAAAAAACTAGCATTCAAGTTCAGCAGGAATTAGGGAAAGCACATGGAATGTTGGCCCGTATTCCAAGGGAAATAGAGTATAAAAATAAGGAGGGTCTTGATAAAACTGTACAAGGCACTAGTCAGACCACAACTGGAACACTGCAAACAATTTTGGACCCTTATCTAAGAAAATATGTATTGGTATTAGAGGTAGTCCAAGGAAGTTCCACTTGTCTGTTCCCAGGTATGAAGATCCCATCTTAAGAAGAAGGGTTGAGTAGGCTGGGCCTGTACTCCTTGGAGCTTAGAAGAACAGGTAGCAACTGTCTTGAAACATATAAGATTCTTAACAGAGTTACTAGGGTTGATGCAGAAAGGCTGCTTCCCCTTGCTGGAGACCTGAAGATTAGAGTGCATCATCTTAAAATAAGGGATTGCACGTTTAAGACAGAGATGAAGGGAAATTTCTTCCCTCAGAGGGTAATGAGTCTGTGAAATTCTTTATTATAGATGGCTGGACAGGTTAGGTTGTTAAGTATATTTAAGGCTGAAATAGACAGATATTTTAATCAGTAAAGAAATCAACGGTTGCAGGTTAAAGACACGAAAGTGAAATTGAGGATTGTCAGATCAGCCATGATGTCATTGGATGGTAGGGTGGACTCGATGAACTGAATGGCCTACTTCAACTCCTCCATCTTACGGTCTTATGGGTCAAGAAGAAAGCAAAGTCGAGGACTGTCTTCAGGATTAGATTTCAAACTAACACCATTTATTGAACATTAATACCAAATACTGCTATACATGGTAAGCATAGCCATGCCAGGCTTTGACTTATTGTGACATTATTAAAGACCAAACTATCTTTGTGTGTTCATTTGTAGGCTTTCATGCGAGTTTTCCAGAAAATACTGTTGTCTGTCCAATTTGGTCTGGTGTAGTATGTCTGATCTCGATCTGCCCCTCTCTGCTATTTATGCTTTGAGAATTACTTACAAAGGCTGCTGTAAGGTCCTGAAGCCCTTACACAGTAATCCTCCTTAAACTTCTTTCTCCTGTCATAGATATTGATTAGCAGCTGTATGCATAGTGAAATGACTTACATAGGTTACTTCTTTTTACAACATTTACTGTACATTATTTTTCCTTATCTCTCCTGCTTCTCCCTAAGTCTAACTTGATTCATTTATTTCAATAGGTAGATTAGGAAAGTCTATGACCAGGTATAGAAACACTTGAGGTTAGATTCATAATTTTGTATTTCCTCGCTGGTTTCCATTAGATCAGAGATTCAATCAATCCAGTTGAAGGAACTTTTAGTAATGTAAAGTAAGAGTTCCAAAGAATTATGAGGTGTTTATGCTTCTTTTGCTCCATTGTTAACAAAAGATAACATTGCTAGTTCCCCTAGGAAGGAAAGAAATAGTCCACCCATGCATTGCTGTTCTTCATATGATGCAGATTGTTCCTTTCCATTATTAATTGTTCTTTGAGGATCTATTCCAGTATGAATGTTCATATTGAGTTGGGAATGATTTGGTTTGTTCATTGGTATGTTCTTCAGACTGTAGGACATCTTCAAGAAGCATGTCCTTTTGATACAATGAGTAATTGTTTGTAGAAGGCTGGACAGTTTTATCTTCACTGATGTGATGTTTTGGAACCACATCTGCAACAAGATACTGGAGTATTAGTTGTTTAGGATTTTGTGTTGATGTGGTATAATGTTCAGATGAGAAGTCTGTCTCCTCTCCTCAGATAGTCTATTGTGCTTTAAGTAGTTAACACTCTGTCGAATGTTCTACAACGATGGAACTTTTGCTGTATAAAGTCTTTCTAGAACAATTTTCTAGACTCTGTATCCACTGCTATTTGGACTGCTCATTCTAGAGTTAAATCCTCTTTTGATTGAAGAAGCCTAGTAACTGATTTATCTAAGAAACCAACAACAAATGCTGTCTCAATGAGCTCTTGTAAGTTTCCATAGTTACATTGTTTCGATAGTACATACAGATTATTCATGAAGTTAGCTACCAACTCTCCTGACATCTACTATTGAACCGTGATCTCGTCTGTGTCCTATTTCTAGAGGAAGTGAAATATTGATCAAAAGCTGTTAGGAGGTTGTCAAGCAAAACCTGTTTCACATTGATCTGATGTCTGTGTAACACATGATACGATGTTCTTCCCAAGTAGTAGAAAAAAGTGCTAACCTGTTTTGCATTCAATTTGGTGCCTAATCCAGAAACCATTTGAAATCTTGGAAATTGTGCTTTTGACATCTGTCAATATGCGAATAAAACATATGAATCAGACAGCTTGAATTTTTATGGTGGAAAGATTGATACCAATAAATTTTGTTGCATTGTTTGATTGTTGATAGGCACTTGAAGTTGATGCTTATTTTGTTTCAAAAAATATTGTCAGGATTTTGATCTCCTTGTACTAAACCTATTTTGTGGTCTTGTGGTGTAGTTCGTTGATTAAAGCTATTGTTGAATCTTTGTTGTTGTAAACATTGTCATTGAAATACTAAAAATAAAAGCTATTAATGTTTATGCTGTTTTAAATGATGTTTTTAATGTAAAAGTACATTTTTTCTTTAACAATATAATGCCTTCATATAAAAGGAATTGTTCAGTCACTTCTAAGATAGCTGGAGGATTTCCAAAGAATCTGTGAGTCAAGCTTTCTCAAAATGGCTTCACTCAATAATTTCACTTGATTCTATTTAAGCTTGTACTTGAAGACTTCTGTTAACTTGCTGATGTTGACATTGTAATTAACTAAATATTCAGATATAAATAAATATTTGGAGCAGTACGGTGGCTCAGTGGCTAGCACTGCTGCCTCACAGCACCAGGGACCCGAGTTTGATTCCACTTTCGGGTGACAGTCTGTGTTGAGTTTGCACATTCTCCCCGTGTCTGCGTGGGTTTCCTCCAAGTGCTCCGGTTTCCTCCCACAGGCCAAAGATTTGCAGCTTAGGTGGATTGGCCATGCTAAATTGCCCATAGTGTTCAGGGACTTGTAGGCTAGGTGGATTTGCCATGAGAAATGCAGGGTTACAGGGATAGGGTAGGGAATGAGCCTGGGTGGGATGAGGGTTGGTGTGGACTCAATGGGCTGAATGGCCTCCTTCCACATCGTAGGGCTTCTATGAAATTTGTTAACTCTCTGTTACAAGTCTTAACTTAGTTTTTTTGGGTGGAAATGAAACCATTTTGTACTTTGTTTTAAGGTAATAAATCTACTTTGGGTGTCCAGCGATTGGCCTCTTTGCATTTGTTCTGAACTCAGATTTCTCCTGTAAGCTGCATGTGGGGTTTTACTGCTCTCACTGCTTTCTTACTGGCTGTAAAATGCATTTTTGAGACTTACAGTGTTCTGACAGTTTCTCTGGGGAGATTTTCTCTTCAGAAGTTTTTCCTTCACTTTAATTGTTCACCTCTGTAGTTCTTATGGCTATTAACTCATCTTAAAGCTAAACCAATCATTTATTGAAAAGAAAATACCAAAGAATTGTGGGTGCTAAAAATCAGAAACAAGAACAGAAATTGCTGGAAAAATTCAGAAGAAGTGGTCAAGCGACCCAAAATGTTAAATCTGTTCTCTCTCCACAAATGCTGCCAGACCTGCTGACTTCTTCCAGCAATATCTTTATTTGCTTCTGATTGCTTAAAAAGGTGGTTACTGGATTATTCTCTTCTCCAGGTGATCTCCAAATGGTTTATTGATCTTGTTGTCATGACTTTCTAGGCAGTGAACCCCATTGCTGTCACAATCTTTTATCGTGTGGTTTGACGCTACACTATGAGATTCAAGATAGACTGGTCGAGGAGAAAGTAAAGTAAAAAACTGTCTTCAAACATAGACTTCAAAGTAACAATATTTATTATGCATTAACACTAAATACTATTATTTGTAGTATTCTTAGAAATACCAGGCTCTGACTTGTAGGGACTAACTTATTATTAAGAATTAAACTCTCTTCCTGGTGTGTTTATGTCCATGTGCTCAAACGAGTCCTCCAGAATGTACTGTAGTCAAGAGACAACAAGGTGCAGGGCTGGATGAACACAGCAGGCCAAGCAGCATCATAGGAGCAGAGAGGCTGACGTTTCGGGCCTAGACCCTTCACCAGTTAGCAATGTGTATTGAATATGAATGGGGTGCTAAGTAATCCACCATGAGTACTGTGATGAAGCTTGGTCTAGTGCAGTACATGTTCTAACTCCATTCACACTGTTTTTTGGTGAATAATGTGCACATTTGTGAGATCATTGCAAAGTTGTTGCAGGATCCTGAAGTCCTTACACAATGACTTTTGGTAGACAGGCTGGGACTTTCTTCACTGGAGCATAGGAGATTGAGAGGCGACATTACAGAAGTTTATAAAATAATAAGGGGTATAGGTAGGGTTAATGGTAGTTGTCTTTTTCCTAAGATGGGGGATGTCAAAGTTAAAAGACACATTTTCAAGGTGAGAGGAGAGAGAGATTTTAAAAAGACAAATTTCTTACACAGAGGATGATTCGCGTGTAAAATGAACTTCCTGAGGAAGTGACGACTGTGGGTACAATTAGAATGTTTAAAAGATGTTTGGATAAGTACATGAATAGGAAAAGTTGGGAGATATGGATCAGGATTAGGCAGGTGAGATTAGTTTGGTTTGGGGTTCTGTTTGGCATGGACTGGTCAGACCAAAGGGTCTGTT